AAACATGAGACGATATTACGACAATTCCATTGGCTATTCGTTAGGTCATTGATGACTTTCAAAGGTTAAGGCGATGTACATTTCGTCCATGGCAACGGACATACTTGATTTATTCAATAATACACAAAACACTCACACTTTTCACCTTAAAATCTTCTTTTTGTCAAATTTTAATATATTCTGAAGCGTACGAAAAGTTTTAAAATGTCTGATGTTAAAGTTTGACACCGGAACAGGACATATGACGTCATACTTGTATGTGCAAAAGACTAGATCAACTTTTCGCGGATTTTTTAATTTAACACAACGAGAGTGTTGACCATAAGAGAGATAGGTTTAATAGACTGGTTCCCGATCGCAATATTCAGTATGTTACACATATACCAATATAACGACCGGGACGGACTTTACGCATTTGGCTAACTTTTGAATGATGGCGTCTATGGAAACGCCCCTTCACGGGATGAATTCCGATATCTATCTCTCGGAGATGTCATTTAAATATTATAATTTAAAAGATAAACAGGAACAAATAAGAACAAAAAAAATTAAAAAATGTTTTAAATAAAAGATTTATTTAATAAAAAAATTCCATACATGTAGATCCTTGAAAAGATAATTGCTGCAACGTTTGGTCGGATTTTTTCAGAGTTCTTCATCTCATAATCAATTTATGAGTGGTTGCCATGGTAACGGACACTCTATTTTTTGGTAGTTAAGCGTAGTAAAACCTTTAAAAAATGAGCTAAATCACTACAATTCAGAGCCTGATTTTGAATAGAATCAAACTTTTGTCAGGAATTTTCATATATAACATTGATATAACTTGGTTTAAGCTTCACTTTAGATAAGATTGCAGTTCAACCCAACTTTTAGATTTTAACACATATTTTCAATTTTTTTGAATCATGGAGTTTTGTGAGATTATCAAATTTTCTCGTGTGTTTTTCCGAAAAGTGCAAATATGTAAAGCATAGCTAGTATTGTAGTAACTAAGTTTGAATACTACTTTACCAAAATAAATAGAATATTGCATGGGACTCTCTTTAAATTTATCACCATAACAACGTATTTTCCCCTTGGAAACAGAGTAATTATTTGTAGTATAGGGACTTCAATGTTCTCAACTGTTTTTTAAAACCTTTTAGAAAATACATAGAATCATATATATACTCTAATTCTAAACTACCATCGTTAAGTATCGTTTACAACAGTTGCCATGGTAACAAATATCACCCATAACAACATCCAATCAAAAGATATATAATATAATTTTATATAAAAAATTACATATAATTATGTAAATGATGTTCAGTTTTCTAATCATTTGGTCAGGTTTTGTTAGAGTTTTCAATCTTGTAAATAATAATTATTCATGAAAAGTTACTAACAGATGATGGACTTTGCAATAGCCCAATCTAGCTTTTGTCAAGGTCCATATTATTACCAGTAATATAACGTTCTTTACCACTTGTAAGAAATTAAGAAATTTTGGCAAAATTCTCAATTTCCTAGCACAATAACTCTCACAAATTTAATACCAACAGCAAGAGACTCAACTTGAAATCTCACTTATAAATATAAGCTTACAAACCAAAAATAGAAACATCTCAAACTGAAACTGAAGTGACAAGGATAGACAGATGGACGGACAGACCAAAGGAAAACATATAAAGTCATTGTGTTTATAAGAACACTTAACACATAACAATTAACATAGGTAAAATCTCTTTGTTCTTATTGTGCTACAATCTGGATAATGCACATCTAAGGTGTGCATTAACTACCTCAGATATACTGCACAGTTCAAAAGTACTCTTACCTTTAGGGGCGGATCCTGGATTTTAAAAGGGGTGTAATTCCATAAAATTAAAAAAAATATCACCGAGTGTAGCGAGACTAAAAACAAATTTTGATGAATTTAGTGTCAAAATATGAAAAAGAAAGTGTTTCTCATTCCTTAAATTAAGACAAAAAATATTTCATTTTGTGTACAGTGTAAATCTTAAATAAGTGCTTCAAAGTCAAACCAGATAATAACTATTTTATTTATTTCTGCCAAAAAAGAAATGCATTTTTGAATATCCAAATAAATGAAATCTGATTAAGTGACTATTTCGGGATCGAATTTAATGAAGATCATATCCAAGTGTGTGTCAAAATAGGGGACGGCGGATTAGTTGCAGATTAATCAGACTTCGTTTAGATAGACATGTCTTCAAAAATTGATACAGTAGGAAAAAAATTGGGAGAACTGGGGAGTTAAAGATTGGAAAGTGAAACTTTTTTTTCTGTTTATTTAACTTTCTAAATTTAGGTACATCTCTCCTCGGTTCATCTTTCTCTAAGCATATTATTGAGGGAAAGAAAAGCAATTAATTTATACTCAATAACCCTTTCAGTTATGATACACCTATTTGAAAGTACACCAAAACGGAACCTAAATTGTAGGAGATGTAGGTTATACGTTAATAAGACAGCAATCAAACGAAAAAAACAACTAAAGACATCTAGCGGGCAACATACAGTTTTCAAAAATAGTTATAGGTGTTTACACAATATGTCAAATTCTTAATCTTTACTAATTTATATAATTATTGAGAATAAATATAACAGAAACGATAAAACAAAATCTACCATTAAATCGCAATTCTTCAAAATGGAACAATTTAGGAAGAAGCCTAAATTAAAAAAATTTAATAAATTAAAACTTACCAACCTTTTATTACTACACAATTAAAGGCGTATTTCCCCTTTCTTTACCCTTTTCGAAGAAACTTTCCTTGGAACCGTGGATTGCGATTTATCGTCCGCATATTTTCCAAAATGTACAAGTAAATTGGTGGCGTCATGTGTTAAAACAGTTATTGGCCAATCGAATCGGTATATATTATTTACTATGCATGGTTGGAATGACCCTTTAACCCGAACTCCTTTAAAGATACAGAGTGATTGACAGAATGGGACAGTAATTGACATTACTAAAGTTAGAAAATGGAAACCAACTTTGGGACGTACTAACATACAGACTGACAAGGGTAAAACTTACTCCCCCCCCCCCCCCCCCCCCTCATTGCGGCGCGGGTATAAAAAGTGTTCATTTTAGTTATTGCCCTTGTACCTTGGATAGATAAAATATGTGCAACTCGGGGGACATTGGAAATTTGTTCTTTTATTTCACATGGGACACTGAAGTCTTGTTTTCATGAACGATTACAGCTTGATGGGACTAGAAAGCATTGACAATTACAAAGCAAAATAAGATTGGTATGTACTGCGCTGTTTCTAGTGTTGCAGTTAAGAAATAAGACCATGTTTGTAATTTGTCTTCGAATAACTGTTAATCTTGTATTTATGCACACCTTCTCAGCTTAATGGTTTGGTTCCAAATCTCGAGATTAATTCACAGTCTTTTATAAAGGTTACAGAGACAGATACACGGTCCGAGAAAATAGGGGGAGTATTTCATTAAAAGGTTTAAAAATCGTTGAGAGCAGCAAAACGATTTTTTCGAAGATTCAACCTAAAAAAAATGATACATTTTTATACGCCCGTTTAGCATATGGCTATCAGCTAATACCTGGAACGTAGTACCGGGAACCAGGATATAGGTTTAACAACTTGTGAAAATTGGATATCGCTTGAAATCAACTCTCGTTATTTAATTTAAAAAGTAATAATAAACTCGCCGAAGGCTTGTTTATTATTATATTGAAATTAAATAACTCTAGTTGATATAAAGCGATATCCAATTCTCACTCGTTATGAAACCTATAAATATTATTTATCCGTGACAATATTGATAAACTGCATATTTTTAATATTTAAAAACAAACAATGAACCATTGGAGGAAGAATCAGTTGTGGACGCATTCAATGATGAACCATTCAAATATGACCTGATTATTTAAGGAAAACTATCAGATACACAAAAAATATATATTGTTGATTTTCATAAATCTTGAACAAAAGTGAAATAAATGAAAACAAGAATATATATATATACATATATAAATGCCTAAGAATGTAACTTTAACACGCTAATGAGTGTTATAAAAATAGTTGTGATATTTTATATATTCACGCAATATTTCGCTGGACAAATAAATATTTGTGAGCTTTCTCAAAGTTCAGCTTTACTTTATTTAAGGAAAGGGTTACTGTGGGTGAAAATATACAAGAGACCCATTAGTATATATCCCAGATAAAGCAAATGGGTCATCGGATAGAGAGCATTTAATGTCCCTAAAAACAATCCTGAGCTGATCTGTTATAAGATGGGACGGCAGCTGACTCTAGGGAAGTTTTTCGGTAGAAAAACAGTTAGCTAATTTTACATCATTGTATAGTTGTAAATGGCAGTATAGAAATTTCTAAAGAAAGTACAAAATTTCGGCAAGTTGTTGTCTCTTTCAGACAAGTAAAACATGATGGTCACTTGCCCAAAGTGCAAGTTGTTTAAAAAGTAACTAGTGTCGATCCCAGCACAATACCAATTTTGAGCTTTTGCTTCTTATCTGAAAATGCAAGATGACTGTCACTGTGGAACACAGTTTAACATAGAACCCTATGTGGTAGACAAAGAAATAGCTAAAAAAAACATCAGATGGGAGCACAACAATACATCTGTGATGATAAGACAGTCAAAAATACTAACACATTTAACAATTAATATCCACACTGATATGTGTCCACATTTGTTTAAGTATGAAAATAATCTATAACATTTAAGGGTAAAAGATAGATTTGTATACTACAGCACCAATCTATAATTATTTTGCTCCTTTGAAACAATTACCAAAATCCTACAACAAAGATTAATATGTTAAAAGCCGTCCTCTGCGCACAAATTATTGCTCTCATTCATCGGTCACAACGTGCGTGTCCAGAATAAGATAAACTGGTCGAAGTTTTCATCAATAGATGCTGCCTAGTTTATGTTATATTTAGTGTAATATATAAACTATAGGATGCATTTGAAATGTTATCAAAGTGTATACCTTATCGTCAGTATTAGTGCTTATTTCACTAGACAGTTCTTGTGCAAGTGAGAATCTGTAATCTTCATTCCAGGAAACACCCAGTATATAATTTACCATACCCTCAATTGTAAGACTCTTCCCAGATTTTGAGGCACCAATTACCAAGATTGTTTTCTCGGGAACCAAGCTTACATTAGCCTTGCCTGTAATTAAATGAATCAAAGTTTATTGTAACACGAACATCAATGTAATAATTCGGTTATAGAAAGGGTTCATATGAAATTCTGCAAACTTTTGCTTAAGGTTAAAAATTCTACACCTAATTTCATGATATATGAAGAATTGGGCAGATATCCTTTGGAAATTGATATAAAACTCCGTATAATTAACTACTGGACTAAATTATTGTCTGGAAAACAAGAAAAACTTCCTGCAATACTATACAAGTACTCATTTTATAAATATAAAAATGGTATTACTTGGTTGAAACATGTTAAATCCATGATTCTTGATGAATCTGGTTTGTCATTTGTGTGGGATACCCAATATTTTGTAAGCGATACATGGCTATATAATATTGTTAAACAAAATCTTGTTGATCAATTTAAACAGAAATGGCACAATAACGTGCAAGAATCGCCAAAAGCTATAAACTATCGTATGTATAAAGAAAACTGTGAATTTGAATATTATTTTAAAAATTTAGATGGTAGAAATATTATTACACTATGTAGATTGAGAACAGGAAATCATAGATTTCCTATTGAGACTGGTAGGTGGCAAAATGTTGCAAGAGAAAATAGAAAATGCTTACTTTGTAATTCTGGCGACATCGGAGATGAATTTCATTATATTTTTATGTGTTCTGTATTCAATGACGGTCGTAAACAGTTTTTGAGAAAAAGATATAGAAATCAACCAAATTCATTGAAATTTAATGAACTGATGAATAGTAAAAATCTTTCTGATCTCAACAACTTGTGCAAATTTATAAGACTAATAAATATGCATTTAGGCTCTCCTGGGTAATTCATGTACTTGATATCATTTAGTTTAATATGTATACCGTAATATATGATATGTGTCTCCCTCTTGCTTCCGTATAATTTTTGTATGTCTGTACATATACATTATGTAATATTTATTGTGTGTATCTCTATACCAATGTAATTTGGTTTGTTGAGAAATAAAGATATATATATATATATATATATATGGGCAATATCTCAATTGTTAATGCATTTTGCATGAACTATATCACATGGAACCGCCTTTGAATGTCGCAACTTGAGTCCCGCAGGAGCCTGGCAATTTCCTAACCACTGATTCAAATTGAATATCGTAAATCAGATATTTCTACTGTGTTCATATTTTGATTTATTTGACACATACAATGAAAGCAAAATATAAAATACACCAAAATTTACACTTTCTGATACAGGTTAAAAGAAAAACTGTCAATGACGATCAACAACTAATATATAATTTTAAGAGTGATAAGTGCATATAACGTAATGGAACGCATTTAATTTTTACAAATTTATGGGATAACATTAACAATGGAAAGCCCAACACTATGAACATTTATAGATAAGAATTATATAATAATACATATACATTGCAATTTAATGAGAGAAGAAAAACAATCCCATTAATTTATTTATATAAATGAAGACCATCAAATGTTGGTTACACGATCAATGTATATGTATTATTGTCCTACTCATCTATTATTTAAATGCGCTTTTCAACAACCTTCCTTCAGTTCTGCTGCCAAAAAATTGTTCAGATCTTTCTACTACATTTAAGTATCAATATGGTCTTTGTCTTTGTTGAATCAGCGTAGTGTCCTATTTTTGTAGTTATTATTCTGTAAAAACCAATTACTGACACCCGCTTTAACAATGGATTCCGTTACACCAATGTAGAAATAAAGTATTCACAATAAGGGCCCTGTTTCACAATTCAAAATTTAACCCCAACGTTTTGTTAAAAAAAAAAGATATGCCTTATTTAACATATATAAATATGTAGACGAAACGTCTATTTGATAAACTATCTTAAAAAATTGCTTAGAATCTTTTATGACTTACGATATAAATAGTTTTTTTTTCTTCTTCAGAATTTCCCCACAAGCCACGGCAGTTATCTTAGTTGACCGGCAAGGGAATTGATAGTCACTTTGGAAAGCACTACTAGATGACTATTTTGCAACAATTTAATATATCCAAAAGCAGTGACTTCTTTATAAATGACAAGTAAATGCACTGTACCTCCTTTCAATATTTTGAGTAATGTCAGCCACGTTCGTTACATTGCAGGCATATGCGATCTTTATTTTTAACGACATGCCCTACGGATGGTTAACGTTGTGGTTAAGGGTTTCACCCACGATTTTTGGTGGTGGTCAGCTCAGCCTTTAGGTTTCTACATGTATGTTGTGTTTTTTTGTTTTTTGCCATGGCATGCATTGTCAGTCCGTTTTTGACTTAATTATGAGTTTGATTTTCCCACTGGTATCTTTCACCTCTCTTTTACAAATATTACCAGTCATATTGGACAAGTTGCATGCTATATTTCTGCTAAAGACCAATTTGGAAACCATTTAAACAAAAAATATTGAAAATAGATCTTTGTATGACAACAAAACATGTTCTGTTCATGTTAATAACGTCTTTACATCCATGTTTTTAGTTTCGTTAGGAGAAAAGGTAGGCTGTTTAATTTCACATACAATTTTCCCTCTCTGTATATCAAATATTAAGTTACAGAAATAAAATCTTTGAATAAAGGTATTAATATTGATAGTATAAATGTCATGACGCCTAACGATGCTAGTTTAAAATATATATGCTAGATTGTGTGAATGGATGGAGCATTAAGTATATATACATTGTGGTTGATGATGATGATGATGATGATGATGATGGATAGCTGCTTAACGTCCAGCAGCAAATCAATATGCATATTCAGGACGAGAACATGTTAATTTGATATGAATATTTACCCTGCTTTGTACCAGATCGACACGCTGAGCCTGATTTTTAACGTGCTAGTTCACAAGGTAACAGTCCGCAGGAAGACATGTCACCTTACACGGACACATTATTCTGACTCCGAGTCGATCAGTCTTTGTTCTTACTCCTTAATGCCGCGTGATTAGCGGCGCAGCAGCAAATACCATTTTTAAAGTCTTTGGTTTGACCCGGCCGGGGTTCGAACCCACGACCTCCCGCACTCGAGGAGAACACGCTACCATGAGACCACCGAGGCGGTTCATTGTAGTTGATCAAGTATCAAGCGTTTTAGACAAAGCTCTGTTCAGCGTTCTAAATTTAGTTTTGGTCGTAAAAGTCATTGTCTAGTCCAAAATGATTCATATAGGTAAATGATCACTGTAGCAAGCAAAATGGTCAGTGTAGCAAGGTTTAAGATGTAAAAACCTTTTGACTGCCACTTTTTTTTTTTCTTTTTACAAAAAAACTTTATGGTTAATCGTTTGATGCCGATTTCAGAGCACAGAACAAAAGTTTTGGAATGACTTTAACATGTTGTCTAGAGATCTAACGTTTCAAAAGCTATATAAAATCTAAGGTATGAGAGCATATTCGGACATGCATATGTTCAGATGATATGAAATGAGCTCTGCTTTGTGCTACAGACGGACATTCTGAGGCGGATGAACGGGCTAATTCACAGTATAACAGTCAACAAGAAGACATGCCATCCTACCAGAACACATTATTCCGACTATTAGCCGACCTGTTTTTACTTTTAGTCCTAAATACCACTAGCTTAGGGGACGACCATTTGATTCTGAAGGAGGGGGGGGGGGGGGCTGGCAAATTTGATGTGGTCAGAATATTTATTTCCAAAATTGAGGTGGGCAGATTATTTTTATTTTCACTCAGACCAGGGCCAGATATCTATTTTCTGCTCATCCACAAATTGACAAAAAAAACTGTCCCTCCTCGCCCCGTCAAAATCAACTTTTAACCCCCTAAAGTAATTTAACTTTTGTGATACAGATCACCTATTTGTAGGATACACATACAACTTCAAACATATAGAGCAGTCAAAATGATGTCTAGAATATATATTCTATCAAAATGAAAATATAATAGCCTTACAATCAAGGGAGGATCCAGGGTCCAAGGATAGAGGGGGGTTATTATCCATAATGGTAAAATTTCTGGTGAGCGTAGCGAGTCAAATTTCTAACGTTTTTGACGAGAATTTTGTGGTCAACTCAACTGTTACACTTTTTCAACGTTAAAACGCTGCAATGCCAAGGTTGGATCCTGCTATTCGAAATATCGTCATCGGCCGTCTCCAGGCCGGCGTGTCCCAAAGTGAAGTAGCAAGAACAGAAAATGTTAACCAGAGCACAATTTCGCGACTTTGGAACAGATACAAGCAGACTGGCTGTACTAAGGGCCTCCCGAGGAGTGGACGACTTCGCCTAACGACTCCTGAACACGATCGCTACATCCGGGTATTTCATCTACTGAATCGAACCGTTGCCGCAACAGCCACTACAGTTGGGATACCAGGATTGAGAAGAATCAGATCACAAACATTCCGCAATCGACTGCGACAACATGGCATTAGACCCAGGAGGACTCGTTTTGAGGCCGTTACACAGACGGAATCGAGTCCGATGGTGCAACACATTTAGGGGCTGGACATTCCGCAACTGGTGCAAAATCTGGTTCAGTGATGAGTCCCCTTTTTATGCTTCATAAACGTGATGGAAGAACTCGTTTCGACCGGCGCATGAATGAACGTTTTGCTTCCTCGTGTGTCCAAGAAGTGGACAGCTTTGGTGGAGGAAGTGTCATGATATGGGCGGCTATCTCTAATGACCGTAAAACGGAATTGGTACATGTTCCGGGTAATTTAACGGCTCAAAGGTACAGAGACGAAATTATCCAACCTCATCTTGTGCATGTTATTGACCGACAGAGGGAGTTATTCCAGCAGGACAATGCTAGGCCTCACACAGCGCGTTTAACAATGGACTACCTTGAGCAGAATAACATGTTATCAATGTGCTACCTTGGCCTTCCAAATCACCGGACTTGAATCCTATTGAGCATCTATGGGACCAACTGGATAAACGTGTACGCCAGCATCAACCCCCGCCACAGACCCTTGATCAGCTACGACAAATGTTGCAACAGGAATGGCGAGCAATTCCACG